ACCAGTTAACCTTGGCTGAAGAAGCTTGCTCGTATAATTTAAGATTTTGTTCCAGAGTCCTAACATCCTTTTGACAATTTATAAAAACTGTGATGTCGTCAGCATATGCTGACAACCTAACTGAAGAGTTACCTTTTTCTGCCAAGTTTAAACCGGATATACTTCTTCTGAGTTGATGTAATAGAGGCTCAATAGCCAAAGTGTAGAGCATCCCAGAAAGTGGACATCCCTGCCTGATCCCTCTTTGTACTGAAACCGGTCTGCTGAGTCCCCCTCCCACCTTCAACAACACAGTGACCCCTGAGTACAACAAACCAATACATGAAATAAAAAAATTACCAAACCCAAATGCTTTCAGTGTTTTAAACAAATATTGATGGTCCACTCTATCAAATGCCTTTTCCTGGTCAAGAGAAAGCAAACCCAGATCTATTTCTTGAAATTTTGATAAGTCTATGACATCTCTAAGTAAAAACAGATTGTCCATTATTGTCCGGTCAGGGACACAGGACGTCTGGCTGGCGTCTACAATTGAGTCCATGTATTTCTTAAGTCTATTCGCCAGTACTTTGGCCAGTATTTTATAGTCAGTGCAGAGTAGAGATACCGGCCGCCAGTTCTGTAGTAGACCCAGGTCTCTTTTTTTGGCAGCAACGTCAGTACTGCCCTCTTACAGCTTGTTGGCAATATCCCAGAGTCCAAACATCCCTCGAAAACGTCCAATAGGTCTTTTCCAATTACATTCCAGAATGTCTTATAAAATTCCGCTGGAAGCCCATCGACACCAGGCGCCCGACCACAGCTGAGCTGGCCCACCGCTGTAGACAGCTCCTGAAACTGCACCCTGGACTCCAAGGAGGCTGCCGACGCCTCCCCTAAACGAGGAAGTCCCTCCAGAATCTCCTCCACACGATCTGGATCACACTCCTCCGCTCTAAACAGGCTGCTGTAAAAGTCTATAGCCAGCCTCCTCATTTCAGACGGGTCCCTGGTCACCGACCCATCGGAGCTCTTAAGGTGCATCATCTGGTTATGTTGCCTGACATTTCTTTCCAGCTTAAAAAAGAATCTAGTAGGTGAATCTATGTCTTTAATGGGTAGGATTCTTGATTTTATTAAAGCTCCTTTTGCTTTTTCATGTAAAAACCTGCTCAATGATGCCCTCTTCTCCTCCCAAGTCTTATCATTATTTGTGTCCACCCCATTAGCTATGCCCTCTTCCAATACATGAAGTTCCCTTTCCAATAACTCAACCTGATCCCTTTCTATTGCCCCTGTGTGTGATGTGTATTGCTGACAAAAAATTCTAATGTGTGTTTTCCCCACCTCCCACCATTGACCTATGCTTTCAAATTGTGACTTTCTGCTTTTCCACTGACCCCAGAAATCAGTGAAAAACTGACAGAAATTCTTATCATGGATTAGTCTTACGTTAAAATGCCAATAAGGAGATCTGTGAGTAGGCACCATCAAAGAAAAATTAACAGTTATTAAGTGATGGTCTGAAAAACCAACTGGGGATATATTGGCTGCAGTTAGCCTATTGCTACATGTGCTACTAACATAAACCCTGTCTAGTCTGGCTGCACTAACCCGGCCCTCTGTGACTTTCACCCAGGTATACTGTCTGGTATCTGGATGGAGTGTTCTCCAAACATCTACTAAACTATTCTCTTTGATTATTTTAGTTAAAAAAGAGGCTGATGATAAGTTGGGCTCTCTCCCATTCCTATCTACTGAATGATTGGTAGTGCAGTTCCAGTCTCCTCCCACCACTACAACTGAGCTGCTACTGAACTGTTTTAATGTTTTGTTAAGTTTTTGTAATAGACTGCAGAGGGATAAGCATACACATTAACAAATACAAAAGGGGTTTCTCTTATTGTAGCCTGCACCACCTGTATACGTCCCGGTTCTATCTCAGAAACTGTTACCTGTGATAGAACAATATGTTTTGCAAACAGAATGGATACACCTGCGCTCAGATTTGAGCCGTGGCTCGGGAACCACGACCCCCCCCACCCTAAGGCCCAATCTGTGTTGTCTGCTGGAGTGCTATGTGTTTCCTGTAGGAACAACACATCTATCTTTTTTCGAGTAGCCAGCTCAGATACTAAAGCCCTCTTATTCTTGTCTCTACCTCCATTGATGTTAAGACATCCTATTTTTAGACTCTCCATGGAGATATGGTAAAGGAGAAAAAGGGTACAGATTGAACCCAGCATTAAACAGTAGGAAGAAAACTTCACCATGTGACTATTCATATTGAATCCTTCTCTTGGACCTTTTAACAGTTTTCCCTCTCTGAGCCTTCCTAAGGATTGCCAGATGTTTATTTAGACGGTAGCGCCTCTTTTCATCTAGGAGGTCATTGCTAACCAGCCTCTTTAATATACTTACAGATTTAATCAGAATCAGAATCAGAATCAGAATGGGGGTTTATTGCCAAGTAGGTTTACACATACAAGGAATTTGCTTTGGTGAAAGCACCGAGGCAGCCATTTTCGGCGCCAAGACATCTTCAGAACCAAAAAGAATACGTTGGGAAAGCAGTTGCGGGGAGAGGGGAAAAAAAGGCCCAATACCACGCCCCCTCCAGGGGACGTAGCAGTGATTTAAAAAAAAACACCTCTTACACTGAAGCACAGATACAGTCAATCACAACATCAAGGACACATAGGGAGGGAGGGATGGGGGGTTGGAAGGAAGGGGAAAGGTAACAGCGAGGCAGTGAGTCCAAGGAATGCATGAAGTCTGTAATGTGTGTGTGTAAGTGTAAGCAAGCTGGAGTCCACATCCACAGGCAGGATGGAATTTGTCCTTGTGATGCCCAAACTCAGCTTGGGAGGAGGGAGGGGGTGGGGGGGGGCAAAGCGTCGGTCTGCAGTTTCATCCAGGGCAAAGTTGCAGAGTAGCAGCTGCAAGGCCGCTCTCGGGAGGCCAGATTGAGATAAGAGAGATAGCTTTGTTCCAGACAGAGCGTGTTTTGTCTGCCTTAAGTCCTCAGCAGGTCTCTCAATGGCGATCCAATTCAGCCGAATTGTGTTAATTTCCATCCATCTGAACCACCACCTTCTCCAAGTTGTTTCCCATCACCCTCATGCTGTCACACATCGTCCCCATTTTGCTTACCAGCGCATCATGTTTGCGAGACAACTCGCACAAGGTTTGAGTCTGAGCGTTGATGGCCCGGTAAACCGGCTCGACAGGCAACCCGCCACCAGTTGCCCTCAGCTTCCGAATTTCTCGAAAAACCAGGTATCCACCAACTCCAATCAGCAGGAACCCGGTTATCATGAATCCAAATAGGTACAGGTCCTCGACGTCCTCCACGGAAAGAATTGAAAGGCATAAAACCCTCCAGCTCCTCCAGGCATCCATCGTGAAACCCGCAGGGTAGGTCCCGGCTGGACAAGTTGCAGCCCCCGCAGCTTGTCTTTGGGTTGAAAAGATTTTGTCAATTGCGTTGAGAGACCAGCCGACCAAATCCATGGTTGATGTTAGGCTTTAGGAAGTAAAAATGCAGAGAGAAGCTCTGAGATGAGACAAGACAGAGATAGCAAGCAAGGCACCAAGGACAGGGGATGGGAGGGAGAAGAGAGAAACACGTCTGCACTCGCCGAGAATGAATTTATCTGTGTCCTCAAAGTAGTCACTTACTTTCACAGATTTGTTAAATTTTTCATCCAGAAACTCATTAATTTCCTCTAAAGAATAAAGGTCAATCCTTTTGCTCACCACTTCACTGATGGATGCTGTGTCTGACTCAGTCTCATAATCCATCTCATCAGCACGTGAAGTCTGACTACAGACTTCCCCCTGTCCTGTTCCACTGATGGTAGCTTTCTCCTCATTGCTCTCTACCTGTGCTTCAGTTACACTTTCTGCAACCTCCTGCTGTTTCTCCACCTCAATCAGTTCATTTATCTCCTTTTCAACAATACACTCCTCCTCCACCTCAGTTTCCACAACAGCCACAGAGCTCCCAGCTACATTCACGTGACTCAAAACCACCGGGTTGGCGACCACCGGGCTGGCGACCACCAGGTCCCCGGCTACGGGCATCTGGCTCGCCGCCTCCGGACCCTCCGCGGCCGGCGCGGGCTCCGCCCCGGCCGCCGCGGTCTCCGCGGGGGCCGAAGCGCGCTCCGCTGGTACAGAGCCGCTCGCGGACCCGGAAGCAGCAGAGCCACCTCCGTTATCCACCGTTTGCCCGTTTTGCTGCTGTTTGTGTGGACACGCTGCTCGTTTATGCCTGATATCTCCACAGTCAAAGCACTTCATGTGTCCCGAGCTGGCGTAAACCATGTATAGCCCATCACCGTGTTTTACGCGAAATGACACCTCCAGTGTCTGCGTGGGGGATTCCAAGAACATGAACACCTGCCGTCTCAGAGACTGCACATGCTTCAGTTTCTGGTCCTTACAACCCAAACTAACAGTCCGGAACCCACTCGCCATTTTTCCGAACCTGCGGAGCTCGTTCTCCAGCAGCGCGTTCGGGATGAACGGCGGAACTCCGGATACTGTGATTCGTGTGGAAGGCACTGCTAACGGGCTAACCTGCACTAGCATCTCCCTCACAATCACTCCGGACTCAACCAGCTGATGGACGGTGGACTCGTCCTTCAAAAAAACAACAACCGCCTTATTCATGCGCGAATTATGAGACAACTTACCATATCCTACCTGCTCTCCCACAGCTAACAAAACTTCCTCCACAGTTATAGTGGGGTCTGGAGGAACGATCCTGACTCCCTGCCTGATGGACGGAGCAGGCGCCTCGGCGGACGCCATGGCTCCTCACACACCCCTGTCTAACCAAACACTTACTTACCTAACACTCACACGAAAAAACCAAATTACTCTTACCTGACTTACCTGCTTTAGTGCATTCAGAACAGTTGGAAAGTTGTTTGAAACCGAAATACACAAGGAAAAGATCACCATTTGAAACTAGCGCCACTCTCAGTCCACGTCTACTACCTACGATCACACACCGGAAACGGAAATGGATAGATAGATAGATAGATAGATAGATAGATAGATAGATAGATAGAT